GGAGGAGGAGGAGGAGGAGGAGGAGGAGGAGGAGGAAGCTGAGGAGGAGGAGGAGGAAGACAGGAGGAGCAGGAGGACTAGGAGGCTTGGAATCCTCACTTGGTGCACTGCGCCCCCAGGCGCTCGCAGCGGCCCCGGCGGCGCCGTGGGCCCTGCGCCGGCGGCGCGCTGACGCCGCGAGAGGCCTCACACGGGCCGCCGCCGACGCCGCCCGCGACGGCGACGGCGACGGCGATTGGCGACGACGACGACGAAGATGAAGACGACGACGACGACGACGACGACGACGACGACGACGACGACGACGACGACGCAAGCGGCGTTGCCTGCGGCCGCGACGTCGACGACGACGACTCGACGACGACGGCAACGACGCCGACGAAAACGGCGTTGCCTGCGGGTGCGATGCCGAGGACGACGACGACGACGACGACGGCGAAGGCGGCGATGGTGTGGTCGTTACGGCGGCGACGACGACGACGACGACGAGGATGACGACGATGACGACCACGGCGGCGGTGGCTGCGGCCGAGATCACGACGACGACGACGACGAAGCGGCGGTGGCTGCGGACGCGACGACGACGACGACGACGAAGGCGGCGGCAATTGCGGCCGCGACGACGAAAACGACGACGGCGACGGGGACGCTGGCCACGAGGATGACGGCCTTGCTGGAAATGGGTCCGGAAAGAATTGGGACGATGACCGACACCAGCGCCTGCCCCTTTTTTCGCAGGACTCGCCGTCGGCGTCGCCGCAGGAGTTTGGCCCCCTGGAGACAGAGAGGTACCCCCCCACGGCTGGCCTCCACGGCCCCCACGGCCTCCAGACCGACCCTCACGATGCCCAGGGGCCCCCAGGGGCTCCCAAGTGGAGCGACGAGCTGGGGACACTTTTGGCTAGGGGCAGCTTCAGCAACCCTCGATGTTAGGCATCGTACCCATGCGACGGTGACGACGACGACGGCGACGACGGCGACGCCGGCGACGGCGACGCCGACGCCGACGCCGACGCCGCCGCCGACGCCGCCGACGCCGACGCCGACGCCGACGCCGACGCCGACGCCGACGCCGACGCCGACGCCGACGCCGACGCCGACGCCGACGCCGACGCCGACGACGACGACGACGACGACGACGACGACGACGACGACGACGACGACGACGACGACGCCGACGCCGACGACGACGACGACGACGACGACGACGACGACGACGACGACGACGACGACCGGCGACGGTCTCGATGACGACGACGACGACAACGACGTCGCCCGCGACGGCGACGACGACGACGACGATGACGGCGATGACGACCGCGACGGGGACGATGACGACGACGACGGGCCTCGTGCCAATGTCCCTTGCCGCGTCGCCGCAGCCCCGGCAGCGGGTCGCCGCCTCCCTGTCGGAAACCCGCGGGTTCTTCGGGGGCCTTCGCGCTGGCTTTTTCGGGAGTTCGGGCCGCCTCCTCGAAGGACTTTGCATCGCTCGGACTTGGCACCGCTCGGATGTCGAGGTTGGTCTCGGGCACTCCCTTGACACCCTTGGGCTCCGCCACAAAGAAGATGCCGTCGAGCTCATCGAGACTCTCGGCGACGCCAGCCAGAGCACCCTCAAACGTCTCCCCCGGGCAGCTGGCGCCGCGAGGTCCCGCCCGCGCATGGAGCAGGTGTCCCCGGAAGGGACTGTCGTGCACGCCGTCGTCTATCGCGTCGGAGTCGACGTCGTCGGGACCATCGAGGACCGTCCTGGGTCACCTGGCAACAAAACATCACGCACGAGACCCACAAGTGCACGGGGAATGGACGTCCGAGCGATGGCAGGAGGAGGGACAGGCGTGCCAATGCCGCTGCCCGGCACTCGGCCCCAGAGGCCGGATCCGCCGCGGAGTCCCGGTCAGAGCGGCTCCTGCGGGAAGAGATGCCGAGACTTGGTGGTCCCCAAACGTGGTGGTGAGAACACCCGGTGGTGAGTTTTGGGCGATTTGGGTAATGGTTTTCGAGCGCTGGCTGGCTCAGGAAACGCAGAACCTCGTGGCGACCGTGTGTCCCCAAACCCGGTGGTGACCCAGAATTATTTCTTTGGGGAATCGGGGTCACCACCGGGTGCCTCACCACCTGGTTTGGAGACCACCAAGAGACACCGCTGCCGTTGCTTTTTTTTCTTGCCGCCACGGCTGGAGCCGCCCCGGAAGCCTCGGCAGAGCGCACACCGGGAGAGGTCCGGGCTCCTCGTCGCCACATCTCGCCGTCGTCGTTGTCGCCTCGCTATTGGCTCGTCTCTCGTCGTCGTCGTCGTCGTCGTCGTCGTCGTCGTCGTCGTCGTCGTCGTCGTCGTCGTCGTCGTCGTGGGAGGATAATGGAGCATGGATTGGCCTGCCTCCGAAGACGCAGGTCCGAGTCGGAGCAGGAGGAGCTAGGGATAGAGGAACATCAGGAGGAGGGTGAGGAGGAAGAGCTCGATCAGGAGGAGGCGGAACAGCAGGAGGCGGGGGGGTGCTGGGACGCGTGTCGGGAGCTTCCGCTGGTTCTTCGATTGCCTTTCTCTGGCTTGGAGCTTCTCGGACCTCTGGAGGTCTCCGCCTGGGGCCTCCAGGGGTCACTGGACGCCTCGGAAGGCCGCTGCCGTCGCCGTCGTCGTCCTCCTCGATGTCGTCTCGTTCCCTGTTCCTGCTCCTGCCCCGTCCGCCCCTCCCCCACCGGCCTCAGCCCCTCGGGCGGCGAGCGCGGGGGGGACGCGAGAAGGAGAA